TGTTGGGGGCAATATGCTGACTCTGTAAACCGCTTAGAGAGGGCTGAAAGCCCTATGAAGCGGTATATAAGTCTAACTGCTATTGCTATTTTCAGCCTCCAAAAGCCCTCTTTTTCACCTCTGTGCATCGCATTTTGGGCTGGTTCCAGGCAGCTGGGATTGGTGGTGGCAAATGAGCTGTGCGAAACTGGCAGTGGTGGCAGTGAACAGTCTGAGCTGAATGGGCCACACTGAACATGCTGTGGTGGGGGTGAACAAACCACGGCAAACGGCAGTGGCAAACAGGCTATGGTGGCAGCAAATGGGCCACAGCAAATGGGCTCGGTGGAGGCAAATGGGCCACAGCAAATGGGTGGCGGTGGCGGCGAAGAGGCTGCGTTGAACAAGCTGTGGCAACGGGAAATGGGAGGTAGCAAATGGGCGGCAGTGAATGGACCATGACAGTGGCGAACAGGCTGCAGTGAACGGGCCACGGCAAATGCACCACGGCAAATGTGCCAGATGAATACTGGATGGATGCTGGGAGGCAAAGGCATTTTTTTTCTTGCTTTCCTCCCCCAAAAAGGTAGGTGCATCTTATAGTCTGGAATGTCAGAAAAATATGGGTAAGTCTCTTTTATTCCTGCACCTTTGTACAGTTTTACTTGCACATCATCTTACTACAAATAGAAAAGAGTAATTGTAGCTCAGAGTTGTATTGTGGAGTCCTTAGTGCTCTCTGAGCTTGGTGGTTTTCTTGCAGACATTTTATTACCACACTAAGAAAGCAGTGGTCATGTTATGTACTTTGGTATTGAAACCTCTGCAAGAAAACCACCAAGCTCAGAAAACACCAAGGACTCCACATCTTACTACCAACTGAATATTTTCCTTCTTTCGATCCAAAAAAAGAAACCAAGATGCAGGATGGCTTTTCTTGTTTCCACCTAAGCTTAAATGTTTTCCCAAGCAGTGTAAACCAGCATGCTCAGCATCTAAAGGACAACCACAAAGGTCTCCTCTTCCACAAGGATAAAACAGTTCTTTGACAGATATTGCTCCATTTGCACATGCTATGGAATGAAATGTGTTCAGAATTGTAGCTTCGCAAGACTGCTTGTCTAAGTACAACTTACTGGCTCAGTGACTAATTCTGTACCAAAGCATGAATAAAAGGTCCCACGTTGTCCCATATATCTTCTATAGCAATCCCCAGGCCCCAGACCAACTTAGCACATTTGAGTGACATTCTAGAAAGAAACCTTTGCTAATCAGTCAATCAATCAGTCAGTGTGGAGGGGAAATTATCCAGACTCTTTTCCTATGGTGGGATGTCTTACCTGTGCTACCCTCTAGCCTCAAAATTAAAACTGAAAAATGCAATTAAGCGTTAGGATGCATTAAGCATTTCATTTGTGAGCAATTTGCCAACCCAGCACACCTTCGGCTGTATAATAATAACAAGGGGGGGTTTATTATTCACAGAGTACATTAATCACTTTCAAATGAGCTATCTGATGAGTCTTGTTGCTCAATGTAAAAGTGAACGAATGGATCAAACGAATAAAACAGTCAGATGCAAACACTAACAAGAGCCATATCATGGACATAGAGGAGTATGAACAATACAAGTGAACCAGACTAATTGGAGGCTAGGTGAAATAAAGGACTATAACCCCAAGTGCTGTATACCATTTCAGATCTGTCACAACTTAATGACTGATCTAACCTCTTTACACTTAGCATTCAATCTATGGTCAAGACAAAAATACTCAAATGTCACAAGGATGCTGGCTAAGTGTTCTGTCTTAATGATGGTTGCCATAGCCCTCAACTGGATTCCTCTTCTACTTTATCCTCCTGCCTGTTCCAGGAAGGCAAATCATAATGTTTTTGAATGGTCCTTTGAGAACATGTGGTTTTTGTATGCATTAACAAAAAATAGCCAGCAGTCATAAAATCGTACATTGGATAGGCCCTTCCTAGAGTAGGACTTACTTGTCCACAGCAAGCATTTCATTGGTTTGTTAGCGGACCACAGTTTTATCCTTTCACCATTCTTGCTGTCATTTCAGCTGGAAGATACATCTGGCAAATTATTGTCAATTTTATTCTACCTTTCAGCTCAGTTCAAAGACTTGCCTTCTTCTAGCATTTGGCTTAAGAAGCCCCATCATTGTTCATCAAGCCCAAAATACTACTAAATTTTAGACAAGGGCAACTAGGTGGAACATCTGCTCAGTAAGATCAGAAGAAGATGGTTTGTTTGTTTCCTTTTTAAGCTTGTGAGAAAGAGGTTTGGAGTTTATTTGCTTTCTAACTCTGCTCCTCTGCACAAACTCAAGGAGCCTTCTGTCCTGCTCTATCTCCTTCCCTCCATTTGACCGGTTCTGCAACCCAGAACAAAATACCTCTGGAAAACTGACTAGAACAAAGCAGTTTGTCCCCAACAGCACAGAGTGTTGAGGACTCGAAAAGGCTTTGAGTTACGACCTGCTGGCTAGCAACAGACCAGGCTGCACCCTGATTGGCTAGGGCGCAGCAGCATCAATTACCAGGCGCCGGAGCGCGCCCATTGGTCCCCCTGCTTTGACAGCCTGTTTAAATAGATGTCAAGCGGGGGATACTTTTGAATCGCTGTACATTAGTTGTATTGAATAAACCTGAGTTCTTTGCAGTCTTGGCTCTCGTCTCTTCTCTTTCTTCGATCCACTAAACTGGCGACAAGAATGGGATCGCAGCGATTCCAATAAGCAGAGCTTAGGACAGAACGAAAGGAAAATCAGCCGCATAGCCACTCAAGCCACAAAGCAACCGCCAGTGCGGCAAACTGCTGACTTTTTTTTCCGTTCTCCATCTCTCTCTCTCTCTGCCGAACTGAGAGATTCGCCTGAATTGCTGATATGGCTTCCGCCTTACCACTGTTTGCTCCTTATGGGACCGCCGGCGAGACGTGGGAAGGTTTTCTTGAGTGCTTTGAGTGCTATCTCATAGCCTCAAAGAACCATAACCAACCCCAGGAGGAGAAATGCAGCTTCTTCCTTAGTTGCTGCAGTCCAGCTATGTTTGCATCTGCCAGAGCCCTGGCCTCTCCGCGGCCCATTTATCAGCTAAGTTGGGAGACGCTGATGGCGAAGCTGAAGAATCATTATGCGCCTACACCATCTCACATCGCCCACCGTTACGCGTTTCGCCAATGCGTCCAAAAACCGGCGGAATCCATCAGCCAGTTTCTGGAGTCTCTATGCATAACAGCGATGCCATGTGATTTCGGGGACTTAGAAGACAACCTTGTAGAACAATTCGTCTGTAGGGTCAAAGACATTCGTCTTTGCCGCCGCCTCCTGTCTCACCCCGAGATCACCTTGCAGCAGGCCGTGGACGAAGCCAGAGCAGCCGAGTTCTCAGAGCAGTCCATGGCCGACATGCAACGCCTGCAGCCTCTCCATCAGCTCCAGCCTCTACCGCCTCCCCCTCCTCCGCCTCCTGTGTGCCCTCCGCTGGCTGCTCACGCGTTCCTTATTGATGAGCTGGTGCTGCTTGAAGACCCCAGCTCTGAGCAAGTCGCCCAGCTTCGGGCTCAACCTTGGCGACCACCCCCCAGCCTGCTGTTCTTGCCTCGTCTGGGTGTGTGGGTTGCGGCGGCCACCACGCCCGCACAGCTTGCCCCTTCAAGGGCACCGTCTGCCGTCGTTGTGGCAAGAAGGGCCACATCGCCCAGGTCTGCCATGCCTCCCTGCCTGCACCGTCCTTCCTCCAGCAGCCGGCTGCACCTCAACCACAGCCGCGCTGCCAGCCATCGTGGCCCGCGAGATGGGCTGAAGACTGCTACACCATCAACCAGCCTGATGTCGCCGGAGAGATGGTCAGCCAGGCGTCTGCCGGTGCCCGGAAGGTCTCTGCAGCTCTCCAGCTGGAAGGTCAGCCCTGCTGCATGGAGGTGGACTC